AACATGCTGGTGAGTGCTATGATGAAAATCGAGCACAGGAAGTAGAATAGAGAGTGCAGTGTGTTTACAGTGGACTGATGATGAAGTTCCCCAGGCAGAGAAGAGAGCAGTACTAAGGCACAATGACATAAAAAAAGCGTAGCCAAGTCCAGGTTCAGGAATCCATCACAGGTTAGTGATACATTCACATGGCACCATTACTCCTGTGAAGTGAATTCACGAGATTTCATGTTTAAACCATGAGAGCTGCTCTCTGTATTACAGCGATTCCTCCTGTGAGAAAGCACCCAGGAGTAATATGGGCAATGCTCATTACATCCACTTTGTGGCTGAGGTGTCCTAGACATTGGTTGTCTGGGGTAACTAATTCAAAGACCAGAAGACAAAACCACTTTGCTCAGTGGGGCTTCCCTAAGATCAAGGGGGAATATTAAATATCTGTTTGCTACAATGTTGGCTCTCTCTTTCTCTAAGGAAGCCCATTCCTGGAGTGACCTTTATTCTCTCTGCAGTCATTTCTCGTGGACAGGAGTCTGATTGACCTTGTCTCTGTGTCTCCCAGGCAATTAAACAGCCGCAGTCAGCTGTGTCTTGATTGTTCAAAGACTTTCTCTTCTCATTGACTTCACTGGAGTAGAAGGCTAAATATAGGCACAGCCCTCCTATCTCTCAGGTCTTTCTATGCAGACAGACTTGTTATCACTAATAGATTATGCTTACAAGACTGACAGGAAGAGCAGAAGAATAGAAATGGGGGTCTTAGTAGTACTGAAAATAAAAATAAAAAAGAGGCTTTAGAAAGTTTCTCATGTAGTAAGGTCAAACACAGAAGGTAAACAGTGTGCCTTAACAATCATGAACATAGACATAGCCTTCATAAAATTAGAGAAATGAATGAATGCCCATGGACTGAGGCAATTTAAGGTCAGTAAACCACTCTGAGATATTTACTGAAGAGATAAAGGACCTTCCTGTACAACAAAGGTGGTAAATTAGGGTGCCTGTAGGGAACAGGCAGGGAGTAGAAATGGGTGAGAAGCCCTGACAACCTTGAGCACAAAGAGCCGAGGTAAGAGGTTCCTGCCCGTTTAGTGCTAATGACTGGCCAGCTGGAGTATGAACCTAGAGTTGCTAGATCTGCTTTTTCAAAAGGAGTCAAAGATCTGAGACTTAAGGTGAAAACTCCAATTTTTCATTTTATTTATTTATTTTTAATTGTTGAAAGTATTGTAGATATCCCCCCTTTTTTTCCCCGGCATTGACCCTCCTCCTCCCCGTTCCCACCCCATTCCTGCTTTCCCCAAATTATTGTCTGTGTCCATTGGTTGTGCATAAATGCATATAAATTCTTTGGTTTATCTCTCCCCAGTCCCGCATTCCCTTCTCTCTGAGGTTTGTCAGTCTGTTCCCTACTTCCATGTCTCTGGATCTATATTGTTTGACAGCTTATTTTGTTCATGATCTTCCATAAATAAATGAGTTCATGTGGTACTTGTCTTTCTCTAACTGGCTTATTTCTCTCTGTATAATACTCTCGAGGTCCCTCCATGTCATCTCAAAGTGTAAGAGATCTTTCTTACAACTGCAAAGTACTCCATTGTGTGAATGTACCACAGCTTTTTTTTAACCCACTCATCTACTGATGGACACTTGGGTTGTTTCCAGATCTTAGATATTATAAATAGTGCTGCTGTGAACACAGGGGTGCAGATATTATTTCTGATTGGTGTTTCAGGCTTCTTAGGATACATTCCTAGAAGCGGCTTATTTAAGCATAATTTTACAAATGTGTTTAAAGGATGACCAATCTCTCCCTTGTATTTTCAATGTATTGGCTTCATTCTTTATACTTGTCTTAGGGGCAATTGTAAGGCAAGTAATGAATATACTTGTTATATAGATGAAAGACCATTTTTTTCCCCACTCCATCAAAAAAGAGGACACTTTTATAAGGGTAAAGTACGGTACATCGAGTTAGATTTAGCATATCTGTCTTGGAGGAGATTAGGATACAGAAGACCCATTCCTAGGTCAGGATCACACCTCTGCTCTGGGTTTGTTATGATATCAACACTCTAGATATTGACAGACATCAGATATTATTGTGTCATGGTAAATATTCAATTGGATTGATTTAAATGTATTTCAGTTGTTAATTAGCCTACTTGCCCATATTTATAAGAGATTGCTGGCACTTTGCTTCAAAGTGTGTTTTTGAATAGGAAATGAAAGCATTGGTCATGCATTTGGTTGGTGTACAAATCTCTAAACTTGGCACTGTGGAAATATTGTGGGAATTAGTAAGTTGAATATGATACTACTCTGCCTTCCAGAGCTAGGTCTACAGAGGAAATAAAACATGCTTACAAGTACTGCTTCAAAGCACATAGGACAATTTATTGTAAGCATAGAGTTGCACATTGCTCTTATAGGGGTAACCAGGTTGCAATTTTAAAATCTAAGAGCTTTAAATAATTTTTTTTTTTTTTTTTACTATCAGTAATATGAAACCAGGAAAAGAACACCTGTAGAAAGACTGAATTAGTAATTTTGATAATAAATATTGAGTACTGAGTACACTGTGTATCACTGGGCTATATGTCATATGCATGATTTTATCAGTTCTCTCAATCACTCCAATAATTAAGTACTACTTTCACAATTAATACTGAAAACTGAAAATGAGAGAATTAGTAGCTTATCCAAAATCACAGAATGTAAGTAGAGGATTCAGAACTTGAATTCATGGCTATTTGACAGTGGAGCCCAGACTTTTCACATTATGCCTATAAACATTTCCAGAAAAAAACCAAAAACCAACAAACAAAACTGAGAACAATTTTTCTTTAAGGATGATGGGAAATTATTGTTTATAAGTACATTGATAGAAAGTTTTCATGTTTGGATTCAGTTAATACTCACAATACATTTTCTTTAATAGCATTTTATGATACAATCTAAAATTTCATTTTGTTTAGAAACTTTTAACTATAGAGTATGTGAAATTGATATCTTTATTTTCCCCTGAAATATTGTAATGACAACTGAGCTATAAGTGTATACTTTCTGTTTGCCATGGTATCATAAGAAATCTGGAAATGTAGAAATCTAATATCCCAGTTAGTGTTTAACAATGTTTATTAGCATATCCCAGTAATTATATGCTAAATAATAAATTTAATTATCAAGGTTAATTTAGGATTATCAACTGCATGCTTTTCGCCCTGGCCAGTTTGGCTCAGTGGTTAGAGTGCTGGCTCGCGGATCAGAGAGTCCCGGGTTCGGTTCCCGCTAAGGGTATGTACCTCGGTTGCAGTTTGTCCCTGGCCTTGGTTGGGGTCGTGTGAGTGGCAGCCAGTCGATGTATCTCTCTCACATTGATGTTTCTCTCTCTCTCTCTCTTCCTCCCACTCTATGTGAAGATAAATGCAAAAATGTCCTCGGATGAGGATAAAAAAACCAAACTGTATGCTTTTCATTGTGAGTTGTCAAATGGTCTATAGATGAAAAATACATGTAATGTCTTAGGTTAGAAAATGTTCTTTAGGAATTACCTGGACTTTTATAATTTTGTTTTAGAGAGGGTCTAACACTTATTTCAAGATACATAAAATAAAGCAATCAAATGGAGAAGAATATCAAGGAAAAACGCATAGCTAGCATAAATTATGAGACTGAAACTGAGCGCAAATTGGACTTGAATTCTTATAGTATTTGGTTGTTATCAATCTAGGTTTCTTAAATAATATAGAATTTAGATATTTTCTAAGGAAAGTGTTAGGAAGTTATTTAGGACACCAACACAAGTGTGTTTCAGTAAGATGCCTTTAGCTACAAGTAAAAAAAAGCCCTGATTTTACTGGGTTTATATAATAAAGGAATTTATTATCTCATATAAAAGGAAGCTCAAGGGTATGGCTCACTCTCGGTTTAAGCTCTGTTTATCCCCAGTCTTGCTCAGCTTCATTCCCTGAGGCTATCTTATACATTCTTGGATGCAAGATGGCTCAAACAGCTTGAGAAGAAATACCTTATCATGATACTGCGCAGTGAATGAAAGCTACCACCTTGCCCTTTTGTTCTCTTTTTAAGGTGAATACACCTTGCCCAGGAGCACCTCCTCGAACCTCTGCAGAGGTCTGCTCACATCTCATTGGCCAAATTGCATTATACATTAATGTCAGAACTGATCGCTGGTGACAGGAATGTGTTTTCCTTAGGACAGTCGGGACCACCTCTTGGGCTGGGATTGACCCAGGCTCCTCTAAAGTATATTGTGTGTGAAGGAGGGTAGACACTAGAATGGAATCCGAGTTTTGTTGGAAAGGAGAAAGAGGAATGGCTACTTATAGCCAACCAACATTGGCGATTACAGAATAGTTTTAAGTGTGGCTGAGAGGGGAACAACTGTGGAGATCCAATCTCCAACTCTTGAAAGATTGGCTCTTTGATTTCTAGATGGTCCCCAACACTGGTACTTACCCTCTTCATAATTACAGCTTCATAGAAATTTGAGCTGGAAGAGACCATTCTGAGTCCCAGCTTGTTAAAACATCCTCCGCCAAGTCTCACAATAACAGCAACTCCAGGACAGGTTTCTTGACTCAGAATAGGGTGTTATCTTTAATTTTTTACCCTTCAGACTTTAGACCTGTTAGAATGCCTTTAAAACTCCTGGCAAACACTGGTCTTTTTGTAATTAATAGTTCCTCATAATACATTTAGTTTGTTCAGACTCCTAGAGGGCCTAAATTGGGTCTGTGCTTTAAAACGCCTGCTGAAGTCTTTATTCTCTGTTTTGATACCAGGTGCCTGGACCACCAGCAGGTTCCTTCCCACCTCAAGTTTGATGCAAATCCTCTTCTTTGAACTTCTCTCCCTACTGCTTTCCTATCTTCTCTTACTCCATCTGTGCCCAACTTCCTGTTTCTAAACAGACTTTGTGGTTACCCCTCCCCCTTTGTGCCAGTTCCGAGCCACTAGTAATGAAGGCTGTGGTCTTCACTGTTCCTCCAGCCTACCCAGTCGGGCTGACCCACACATTCATATTGTTATGGCCCCCAAATCAGTTTCTGTGATTATTCTGGTAACTACTCTATTGGGTGAGAAGTCAAACCAATAATTAAAGTGTTGGGATAACTTCTCCTATTGCAATTTTTCTCCTGTTTTTGCAATTCAAGAGGAGCTACTTCTTGTACTCTTACTACACACAATGTGCAAATAGCATGTGATGTATGGCCCACCACAAACCTGAATGCTTATGATTTCCTTTGTATTTTTCTTCATTTCCAGGACAAGATGTTGATTAATATAAAGAGCATCTTATGGATATGTTCTACCTTCATAGCAACCCATGCACTGAATAAAGGTGAGTGTGGTAATAATTTATTAGTTAGTTGCTAAGGGAAATAAAAATGTAAGTGCTGGGGCGTGGAATGGCAATATGGAGTCACTAGAATTGAGGATGAATTTTTTTATCTATTCAGTGCTGAAAACTTTTAGTTAAAATATGATTAGGCTGAAAACAGAGGTTTTAAATCAATCAATCAAAATAAAATAATGAGCAGGATACTAAAGAAGCAGGTGGGCTTTCAGTAACTTCCCAGATTACTTACAGACTGTGCAAAAAAGCTCATACAGTCATCTCTTGGTGTCCATGGGACATTGGTTCCAGGATCCCCACAGATACCAAAATCCAAGAATATTCATGGCCCTTATATGAATGACGTAGTATTTGCATATAACCTACGCACATCCTCCCATACACTTTAAATCATGTCTAGATTATGTGTAATACCTAATATAATATAAATACTTGTTATACTGTATTGTTTTGGGAATAATGACAAGAAAATAAAGTTTGTACATGTTCAGTACAGAGGCAACCATCTAGGCTTAACTACATAGTACACATCATAATATTTTAAAGACAAAACATCTTCTATCTTTATTTGGTTGAGCCTGGGCATGCAGAACCTGCAGATATGGAGAGCCAACTATATATGTCATTGGGCAACTTTTCCATCTTCTTCACTACTACTCAAAGATTTTCCTACAAAAACAAGCAAACAAAGACTATCAAATCCTCAGGAGATTAGATTTTGAGAAAAGTCAAGAAGATAAAGAGAAGACTGACAGCCAAGAATTTGTCACTACCTCATTTTCTTCTCTCTCTCAAAGTAACTCGATACGTTAACATTCACTGTTTTTCTTAGCTTTAAATTATATACATACCTATCAAATGAATGTTTTATAATTCCAAATTCATGGAATATGGCCCATGAAGAATAATACTGCCTTGCACGTCAGCGATCTACTCCAGTCCAGTGTACCTCTCCGCGCTCAAATTCTACTCCTTCCTCACACTCACAGTATGCTTCAGACATTCTCAACTAATTTACAGTTCCATACACAGACTTTCATATTACCTGGTTTTTCACATGTAATTTTTCTGCTTGGCATTTCAGTCTCTTGTTCTCCACAGTTCTACTTCAACTCATTCTTCAAGACTCATAGATTAAATTTCTTTTTTTTTTTTAAAAAATATTTATTGTTGAATGTAAAATGTATTACAGATGTTCCACATTTTTCCCCCATTGACCCCCTCCTCCTCACTCCTGCCCCCCTCCCGCCTTTTCCCACACTATTGTCTGTGTCCACTGATTATGCATATAAGTTCTTTGGTTTATTTCTTCCCACCCCCCCAGCCCCTTTCCCTTTGAGGTTTGTCAGTCTAGCAATGAATTTGTACTTCTTAATCTCTTCACCTTTTTCACCCATTCCCCCAACCCCCTTCCCAACTGGCAACCAACAAAATGTTCTCTGTATCTATGAGAATGTTTCTGTTCTACCTGTTCATTTTGTTTGTATATTCCATTGTTGATAGATATGTATTCATTGCCATTTTGTTTGTCATATATTTTATCTTTTTCTTCAAAAAGACCCTTCATCATTTCATATAATAACGGTTTGGTGGTGATGAACTCCTTTAACTTTTTTTTGTCTGGGAAAGTCTTTATAGGGCCATCAATTCTAAATGACAGCTTTGCAGGATAGAGTAATCTTGGTTGTAGGTTCTTGCTTTTCATCACTCTGAATATTTCTTGCCACTCCCTTCTGGCCTGCAAAGTTTCTTTTGAGAAATCAGCTGACAGCCTTATGGGAACTCCCTTGTAGGTAACTAGCTGCCTTTCTCTTGCTGCTTTTAAGATTCTTTCTTTGTCTTGAACCTTTTGCATTTTGATGATGATGTGTCTTGGTGTGGGCCTCTTGGAGTTCATCTTGTTTGGAACTCTCTGTGCTTCCTAGACTTGTATGTCTGTTTCCTTCACCAAGTTAGGAAAGTTTTCTGTCATTATTGTTTCAAACAGGTTTTCAATTTCTTGTTCTCGCTCTTCTCCTTCTGGCACCCCCAAGATGCGAATGTTGGCACGCTTGAAGTTGTCCCAGAGGCTCCTTACACTATCCTCATTTTTTAGATTCTTTTTGCTGTTCTGATTGGGCGTTTTTTGCTTCCTTATATTCCAAATCGATGTTTGGTTCTTAGATTTACATACTCTACTATTGAATCTGTGTAAATTATTCTTAATTTCAGTTAATGCCTCCTTCAATTCTGACTGTGCATCCATAATTTCTGACTGGTCCTTTTTTATGCTCTTGAGGTCCTCCCTAAGTTCACTGAGGTTCTCACTAAGTTCACTGAGCATCCTTATAAGCAGTATTTTGAACTCAGCATCTGTTTGGTTGCTTATCTCCATTTCGCTTAGTTCTTTTCTTGGGGTTTTGTTCTGTTCTTTCATTTGGGACCTGTTTCTTTGTCTCCTCATTTTGGCTGCCTCCCTGTGTTTGTTTCTGTGTATTACTTAATGAGAGGTATGGGGCTCACTGAGACCAGATGTTGCTCGTTTGAAAGAATTTAGGAAAAACCTGAAGCAGGATCCAAGACAGGCCAATCCTATGGTTAAGCAAGTGGCAAAAGCTTGGGTGGGCCTGAAAGTTGGGTGGGGCGGGGCATCAGGGAGTCAGCAGGGCGGGGCTACCAGTGTGAGCCAGGTTGCTGGAGTCCCAGGTATGGAGACTGTCTGCCGCCCCAGGGAAGGGCTCACCAAAGGAACAAAGGCCTCTTACAGCACGTTTGTCCCCGAGGAAGCCCCCTCTCCAGCCCTCGCTCCAGTGCCAAACAGCTCAGTTCTTCCCTGTATGTCTCTGGTGCCCCTCGAGCTGCTTCCCCTCCAAGCTTAGAGGGAGCGAGTCCGATAAGTTCGTGCGCGGGCCCTTTAGGGAGCTGCCTGGGGCTCCAGCCGCTTCAGCTTCCCTGAGCCTCAGTTCCCGCTGGTTTTTCCAGCCAGAAGTTATGGGGATTCTCTTCCTGGCACTGGAACACTTTGCGGGGCACCAGGTGTGGGACGGGGACCCCTCAGTCCTTGGGGAGGATCTTCCCAGCTGAGGTGTCCTCCTGATTTTTATCTGCCACACGTGGGTGTGGGACCAGCCCTTCTGGCCACCAGCCCTCGCCCCTCTTACCAGTCTGGATGTGGCTGCTGCTTTAATTCCGTAGTTGTAGGACTTCCATTCAGTTTGATTTCAAGTGGTTTTGAATGATGGTTGTTCTGTAGTTTAGTTGTAACTTTGATGTGGTTGTGGGAGGACTCGATACAGCGTTTACCTACCCGCCATCTTGACCGGAAGTTCATAGTTTAAATTTCATTCCATCTGTCCATCCATCTATTTATTCATCCACCCCCCCCCCCATCCATTCATTCATTTATCTACTCATTGACAACATTATTTGAGTACCTTCTATGTGCCAGGTTTTATTATGGGTGTACAGGGATATACTATTGTCCTGGATTTTATCAAACTTAATCTCTTAGTTGTATGAGACAGACAATAAATAAGTAAACAAACAATCCAGGTAGTTTCAGATTGATGAAAATAAAGCCGTGTGGCATCATAGAGAATGATCTGGGTTGGGGGGAGATGGTCAGGCCTCTTGAGAAAATAACACTTAGAGATTAGAATGACCTAGATGGCTGAGATTCTAGGGTCCACCAATCTGTTAACAGCTCAGGACCTGATTTTTTCAGCATTTTCAGGAAATAAAGGTGAAAGTCACAGAAAGGAAAAGATAACAGCATCCAGTGAAGAGGGAGTACGTAGAAAGGAGATTTAGAAAAGGGAGTCGGTTTGGGAAATAAAAGGGGAATTACAGAGAAAGTAATAGGAGAACCTTGAAGGGGAAGGCAACCATCCCTCACTTAAAACAAAGTTTAGACTTTCTACTTAAGAAAAAGGAAAGAGTTCACATCAAAAATGAGGGGGGAAAGTGATATATTCATTGACAGTATTTTAAAATAGTAATAATAGCTAAAAATATTGAATAACTTCTATGTGTTAGGCCTTGTTCAAGTACCTTGCATAGTCAGTTGACTTAATCTTAACTCTCCAATAAGACAGGTGCTTATATTCTCCCCACCTGGCAGATGAGGAAACTGCAGTACTAAAATGTCTGGAGGCATAGATAATGTAAAAGATCATATAGCAATTTGGTGACGGAGCCTGGAGTTGAACCCGGGCAACTGGGCTCCTTCACCTTTACTTCCTGAAAATGATGAAAAAGACAGCTCCTGGGCTGTTAACAGATTATTGGACCCTAGATTCTAATAGCCATTTGGTCATTTATATCTAAATTCAAGTGTTATTTTCTCAAAGAACCTTATCACCTCCCCCCAACCCAACTATGCTCTTAACCACTGTGTTGTATGCTTTACTCCAAGAATCAAGTTTTTGTAAATCTATAATCATGATTAAAAGATGTAATTAGATGGGGCTAATTTCAGGAGAATTTAATTTTTTCCTGTGAGAGAGAAAAGTTGAAAATGTAAGATCCACATAAAACAGATTAACCAGGTTCATGGTGAGACACATAGCAGACCTAGTTGTGAGTCGATACAAGTACTTACATCCTAAGGATTTTCTGTTTATTCTCAGACCTTCAAAAGGTCAATAGCTAACACCATGGAACACATGGTTATTGGCTTTATTTTAATGCACAAAGAGCTACTTGTTTTAACAATATACATTATATTGATTATCTAACACTGAGCTAGTTATTTGGATATTCCTCTAATATTAATAAGTGCAGTCATGAACAGTCATGAGTAAATAAATGAACAAGAGAATAATATTTATCACCTGAGAAAGTGATAAATTTCCCTCAATCTGACATGATTTTGATCAAGGTCTCTGTGTGTATATGTGCGTTTGGTCAAATTATGTAGATAGAATTTACATCATCCTTGTTCTGCAGAATTTACTAAAAGACAATGAAAAGTAATTGATTATTCACTATTTAGCGATTTCTCCTTTACTGTATTCATTTAGATCACAAACCATTGGTAGGAACAGTGAACTTTTTGTTTGCATTCATTTTTATTACTTGCATGGTCAGAATTTTAGACAATTTTTTGCAGGTAGCAATTTTATTTTGTAAACAAGGGTAGTCTATAAACATTATCCTCTGAACTACTAAATTTTTTTCTTAAAATATTTAGATTTAGTGGACTTAGTTCTTGTGACCCAGTACATTAAGAATTAATATTTCATACACAAAAGAAATGACCACACAGCTTTTTGTTAATCCTGGATTCTACATGGAATATATATTTATATCCAACCAAAGTTTTTAATTTTCTTGTACCTATAAACATCCAGAACAACACATAATATCCAGAACAATTGAGAAATTTGCCTTTGACATCATTTTGTTCCAATATATCTTTTCACTTACAGCAGAGTTATTGAGAAATGCTCTAAGTGTCCAAAACCTCCCGACTGGATAGATTGGGCTGAATTTCATATCTGACCCTACACATATAAAACTGTGAACAGAACTATAATTTAGTAATAAATATTAAGAAATTGGAAGTCATTTACCTTAAATCATTTTTAAGGAAGTGGTAAACAATCTTGTAACTTACACCATCATTGAGGTTGATGATAAAGGAGTTTCTTCTCCTTGAGAAAAGCAATACTTTATTTCTGGAAAAGCCAATCATCTAAATAAGTCTTCAGGAAGGAAGATGAGATTTTCTAGAACATATGATAAATGTCAATTAGGAGATTTTTTATTAGAAATTCTCCCTTCCTTTCTCAGGACCTCCATTCTTGGCAAAAACAAAACAAAACAAAAACTATGTAGTCATGATCTCCCTAATGGGTTCCAAATCAAAGGACTCTGTAACAGGTAGTAGTTTCTCTCCAGAAGTCTTCTGTGGACTTTATAGATTTATTTAAAAGATCATGAAATTGCTGACAGTTTTTAGTTCAGATAACAATTAAAAATAAATAGGATGAGTTAGAAATAAGATAGGCGTAGACTCTGGAAAGAAAATAAAACTAATTTAGGGGCAGAGGAAGAACCCAATTAATACCAAAGCTGAAATATTCCTTGATTAGGTGTAAGAAGACATGAGTTCTGGCTTAGGTCTGTCACCAGCCAGCTGTGATCCTGAGTGTCGCTTTCTCTTAGGAGAGCATCCTCAGTACAGGATTGGACCAGTTCCACCCTGAGGATGAGCTTTAAGTAAGATAATTTATTTTTTAAGCCAAGCAGTCTATTAAAAATAGACATATTCCCTTGCTATTATATTCCAAAATACTAATAGTTTTTGTAACACTTTAAAGATTAATTTAGTGCAGCTAGTAGCACACGTCATTTTATTTTTATTTAATCTTGAGTTCTTTAAATGCTGTTTTGGACAAGCAATATATAGTTTAGTAAAGTGATAAAGAAATTTATGACAGTAAAGATCATTATAAATTTGTAATGATTACTGGTTTCTTTTTTTTTTAAATCTTCATCTGAAGATATTTTTTCATTGATTTATAGATTGAGTGGGAGGGAGGAGGAGAGAGAAACATCAGTGTGAGAGAAACATGTCAATTGGTTGCCTCCTGCATTACCGCAACCTGGGTGGGGTCCATCCTGCAACTGAAGTCGGAGCCCTTGACTGGGAATCAAACTCAACACTCCTCTGTCCTGGGGCTGACACTCTAACCTCTGAGCCAAACCAACCAGGGAAGAATGATTAATGGTTTCTATCATCAGTACAGTAAATATAATACTGTATTAATTATTTTAGATTTATTTGTTTCACGGGAAAGATTTTACAGGCCAGTCTTTCTAAAGTTAAATTTCCATCTCTAGCAATAGAGAGGAATTTTTCTCTTAAAGAGTATACTCTTTTCTATCTTCCTACAAAATGACTTATCCTAAATTGAATCCACACGGCTATATTGACAGCTATATCATTTCTGAGGCATGTCTATACTGACGTGCGTGTTACCAACACCTTTGACCACTAACACACTGTTAGGTATACATCACTTGGTTAATTAAGATTCATTATTTCACTCCATCTGGAATCTACTGTTAACGTATTCATCATATTTTCATTAAGTCGAGGTTGCTTGTATATTAATGATAATTTCCATTGTTATTACCAAAATATGGTCTAGCCAATTAGTAGACACTGGAAAGTGGGGGTGGGGTGGGGAGGGAAGGATATGGATTCCTATAAGAGTAAAAAAAACATTTCTTTTGCATGTAATAGTGTTAAATTGTAGCCAATGCATTCCTTCTCATTAAAAGTTTAAGGGCTTAAACAGAAAGACATTGTGCAGATTAATACTTTAGGAGGTTATGTGAACAGATGCCAACTTTCCCCCAGGATATAACCTAGAGGTAATGTTTCACTGCAAAGTGATTGCAGCTGGGTTTGTCATTATGATGAAAGCCTTCGGTTCAAACACCAAACCAAAGAGGGTCCCTTCAAGTGTTAGACTTCCCCCTGCTCCAGTCTACTGAAGTACTTTTTTTATTTTCACTTCCTCTTTGAATTTTATTTTCATTTCCTCTAAGGTAATGTGGCAGTTATCTTAACAAATGTTTTTCATCTTCTGACCTGTGACATAAATTTACCTTTCATATGCTCTTTATAACATTGGTTCAGCCCTTTAAACCTGCACTGCTGATTCTAGTCTCCTTTGGCCTTGATTGCTTTCCTATACTTGCCTTATAGTATCACTTATTTGTTCATGTTAAATACTGAGTTACAAATATTTAAAATTAATGTCATATTTTTTTGTACATAAAATGAGAGCATTATTAATCCCTGTCTTTGTTATAAACATTATTGAAATTGTATACTATTGTCTGTCTATGAAATCATTCTTATTATTTCACATATTGAAGATGTAACAAACTTCTGTAAGGGTTTCTGATCCATTCACATATTGAATAGACCGAGTTTGGTGTTTTTTTAAGGACTGTTAATTTGGTATTTTCCTCTTTCTTCTAGACAAAGTGGAAAAAAACCCACCTGTTAAGGGCTCCCTGTCTGGAAAAGTCAACCTACCTTGTCATTTTTCAACCATGCCTACCTTACCACCCAGTTACAACACCAGCGAATTTCTCCGAATCAAATGGTCAAAGATTGAATTGGACAAGAGTGGAAAGGATTTAAAGGAGACTACTGTTCTCGTGGCTCAAAATGGGAATATCAAGATTGGCCAGGGCTACAAGGGGAGAGTGTCTGTGCCCACACATCCTGAGGACGTGGGTGATGCCTCCCTCACCATGGTCAAACTGCTGGCAAGTGATGCGGGCCTCTACCGCTGTGATGTCATGTACGGGATCGAAGACACACAGGAAGCTGTGTCATTGACCGTGGATGGTAAGACTTTTGGAATCTATAAGGTTGTATAACGTGATACCTGGTTCGAAGCGTTGCGAAACAGCACTCAAATGCAACTATTGTTCAGGGTTTGGATAAGTGGGAAAACCAACAGTCTCTGTCTTTCACCAAAAGTAAACTATTTTTTTGCAGTGTGGTATGTGTGTGTGGTGTGGTGTGTGTGGTGTGGTGTGTGTGTGTGTGTGAAGGAAGGTGACTTTTTGCACAGCAACCTCAATGATTCATTGTAGAAAGTATAGTTTGAACACTGGAGGTAATGAATACAAAGACATGGTATATACTTCAAGATCATTATTAAGACCTATCAATGATAGCTTTTTAAGACTGTAAAGGCTAATCTACATTTTGTTTTAATTTTTACATATGTGTGTATGCACATAAACATATACACACACATATACATGTATATAAACACCAAAAAAATCCTTTTCCTCCTTTTTCTCTCACTCTCCTAATATGATTGTTAAAATCTTTGAGTTTTCTTTTAAGAAATATAAATTCTGTCTTGATTCACATTGAAGATATAAGGCACTTAATAAGTACCACGGTACATATCACAATGCCTTAAAAAGGCCACGACTCAATAAACATTTGAATTGGATCAAAACAAGAACTCTGTGATTTTTTTTTTTAGGGGAAATATACTAGTTGTTATCCATTCAGTCCTGCAGTGATACATTTTGGTTTTAGCCTTCTTTCAGTAGGGGTTTATGTGTCATTTGAATTTAAGTTAGGAGACAAAGCAAAGAAAAATTGTTTTAATTGGGTAAACACATAATGCCACAGCTCTTGGAAGAAGAATATTTTGGCAAGTTATTAAGCAAAATTCTTATACCCAGACATGATGGAACAGATTTTTCTTCCAACCCTCCATTTCCCTATAATATATTTACCTTTCAGAAATATACACAAAGGGCTTTATTAAAACTCTTTCTTGTGTAGCCAAAAGGAAATACTTTACATTTCAGATGCAACAAATTAATTTTCTGGACATCCTTTTACATTCATATTCTATTGCTCTCTTCCATAAATCTATTTTTATGTTATCCAGGCATCCGCTAACTGTCCCAGCCTCTTTACTCTTTTACGCTTTTTATCATTTATTTTAGTTGGCATAGAATTGTTTTGTTCTATTACTGTTTCTCTAGATCGATAGGTAATAGTGTTAGATGCACACATATATAAGTTTTTGTAATAATATATATCAGTATGTATAATATGTAAATTATATACATATAAATATATATAAGTATATATATATATTTAAAATCCCCAAAGGAGTTTAACAACTTCTTACAATTTTCATCATTAAAACATTAGCAATGGATTTGCCCCTTGCCCCTCTGAAACAATTAAAATCCTCTGCTTAATCTCCTTAGCCCCATGAGGTCTGCAAATTATTCCAACAATTGCAGGTACTTGTGCAGACTGAGATTCCCTGCCTGGGTCGTGGAGGCCCCTTGGTGCCCCCTTACTGACAGTCCTCAGTGCACATGGGAGATTTTTAATGACCAAGAAGACTATTTGAAGTTTCAGTCAACATATGACTAATTTAAAACGATTCAAATTCTTGCTTAAGCCTTAGGGATTATTATAGACTATGTCTCACATTTACCAAATACCACCACATACACTTCTTGGTGATTTCAGAGTAGCTCTGTAAAGGTAAAAATTTCCTGAAAGACATTTGATGATTTTTCTTGTTTGTTTTTGCAACATCAAAAATGGGAAAACAATTGTTAGATGTCGATGCCTGTACTTGGCGCAAATCTTTTGTGTTGATCCCGATCAGATGTGCTTACCTATGACATGGCTAGTCTGTTCCGCCATAGTTACTTCATTGGCACATACCTAAGAGAGAGACAGTCTGAGGGTGGGCATGTGGGAGATTCTTATGGCTAGAAGTTAGGCTAGGAAAGAGACTTTGTCAACCCCAGGAAAGTACTAGGAATAAAAGGAGAGTGGAAGATATTCCAGAAACCAAAATTCATTCTGCATAACAAAGAAGAAAAGTGATCCTAAATGAGGTGACTTAATAAAATCTCATTTGTAAGACCCAGATGCCCCAATTTCTATTTTTCAGTGACTTCTCAGACATGTTAGCTCGACTCACTTTGCAGAATTATAGACATGTGTTGCCTTAGTTACTCCAGTTAAAAATGGAGAAGCTCTTGCTGAAGTGGGAGGAGAGGACACACAGCTCCACCCCTCAGTGGTTCTTTCCTCAACAAGAATTGCTAGTTCATGCCCTGGCCAGTTTGGTTCAGTGGTTGGAGTGTCAGCCTGAGGACCAGAGAATCCAGGGTTCGGTTCTCACTAGGGGCACGTACCAAAAAAAAAAAAATTGCTAGTTCATGCAACTCCTAAAATCTACTACAATGACAATGGAATTTGAGGCAAGTACCAGGATTCCTGACTTCTCCCCATGGAGTCTGGAGAACTGTGTTTCTCTAGACCCTAAATTAGGCTGGTCAGATAGTGAACGTGATAAACATTTAAGTAATACTTAATAGCCTATCCAACATTTTAAAATCCTTGACCTAATTCGAATGTCATATCAGTCAAACAACATAAGAAATATTAGCTACACTTTAAGGGGGAGGAAATTAAAGCTCAGCATATGATTAGGGAGCTAATTCGGGATTTACAAGCCTTCTCATGCAGACATAGTGCAGCACCTTTTCCATCTCAGTATACTGTCTCTGGAAGTAAATAGCTCATGTTTTATGTTTAAGGGAAATGGTATTAATGAATGTTCCATGTGCTTCTTTTGAGTTGGCCCTGGGAAAAATCATGAAGTAGAAGTTGGTCTTGTGGCCCCTTAGCTCTTTGTCTCTCTTGCAAAACCTAATCCCTTTAGTTGTCCGCTGTTCCTATGGTAGCCCGAATACTACCTGCATTAGGACAACTATCTACTTCTTGCGATTCAGTGGCTTAAATCTTAGGTTGTTTACGTGTGAACAGAAAATTTGTCACTAGGAAACTTTCTGATGGAACAGAATGGGACACCTAAGTGAATGGCATTTCTGGGGTCTCCTCACATCCCATAGTTTTGCATAATGCTACATAAAGTAAAAATAAAGAATGATCGTGATGTTATTACCATGTTAGCAATTAATTGGCTACATTGCCCCAAGGAGAAACTTTGCATGTTGTGGTGGGGGATTTGGACATGCCCGTAATTGTTTGCTGCTATCTTTGCAGGGGTTGTGTTTCACTACAGGGCCTCCACCAGCAGGTACACCCTGAATTTTGAGAGTGCGCAGAAGGCTTGTTTGGATAATGGGGCGGTCATAGCAAGTCCAGAGCAGCTCGATGCTGCCTACGAAGATGGATTTGAGCAGTGTGATGCAGGCTGGCTGGCTGATCAGACTGTTAGGTGAGCCGTCTGGGGGCCACAGGCTTAATAATCCATCAGTCTGGGGGTAAGAATAAAGTACTAATTATTAGTTCTTTCTTTCCCCAGATATCCCATCCGGACCCCCCGAGAAGGCTGTTATGGAGATATGATGGGGAAGCAAGGTGTCAGGACTTATGGATTCCGTTCTCCTCATGAAACATATGACGTGTATTGCTACGTGGACCATCTGGATGGTAAGATGTTTACGTTTCTCTAGTTTCGTTTGAACTAAGAAAATTGAGGAAAGACAGGGAGCATGCTGGAATAAAACAAATCTTCATGCTTGTTTAAGTTCCAAACAGCAACATTTAGTTTAAATGACCATATGATTCTGTGGTGAAATAAGCTTACATTAAAATGGAAAGAGAAGGAGGAGTGTGTAAATGGTTATGCAGGGCAGAAATGTCTTTAGCTAAGAGCAGTTTTCTTTCAGTCATGCTGCTATTGGACTATTTCCAATACACATTTAAAGCATTAAGAATAGAAAGTTGTAAGGGTAGTACCTATTTTTGTGAGAACTTCAGATAAAATCCTGTGATGACAAACCATTGTGAATCCAAGTGCTGATAAACACCCCAAAGCGCAACTAAACTTAAGCTAGCCCTGGGGTGGGGGTCCATGTTTCTCTTCTGTTTATTTTGCTGCACTGATATTCAGAGCAATCAAGCCCTATTTGGCCAATCAGCACGTCTGAAAACCACCGACTTTGTGGTAGGTGCTCTGCTAGTTGTTAGGGATGTGAAGCCAGGTAAGATGTAAGCCTTGCTTTAAAGATGCTTCGAGCCCGATTGATGTTAGACTATCATTTCTCACTCAGCATGAGTCAGAGATTCTTAAACACAAGTTTAAGTTCTATAGTGGCAACATTAGCTAAGGGGTACAACGAATTTTTATTGTAAAACATATGGAATACAAGTTTCTGTGACTTCTGAAATGGAGTTTCATTTGTATCAAGAGATATTTTAGAAGCCCAAATATATAAATAGGAGTATTGAATTGAGTAATACATTAAACAATGTGGGTGCACATAAGAAGAATGATGTCAATTTTCTTATCTGTAAAATTAGGGGATTGGACTAGATAATTTATGTGGTCTCTTCCAGCATTATAATTCTGTGGTTCTTTGATTTTATGTATTGAATGAACAGCCTCAGAGACTGAGAGCTGAAAAGAAGCAGCTTCTATTTTCCTAATGCCCTGATAAATTTGAGCCAGAGGGCCTGCATACAAAAAGCCTGCGGAATTGTGTTTCTGCAGCATCTTAACACTCTTCTTATAACTCTCAGTTAAGACTGGTAGACATATTTTCTAAAGCAACAATTTCCCTTTTTGTACAGGGACAAAGGAAAAAAAAATACATGTAAAGTCTAAGCTATGATATGTAGTTCTTCTTCTTCCTTTACTATGTTTCATTTAATAGGAGATAGTTGGTAGGAGAACCTAGTCCCAGGAAATAAATTAGGCTATTGCTATTTCAGTCAGATGGAAATTTGTACCCAAATTCAGTAACGTGGGATTTTTAAATCATTGCTATTTTAATTTAGAATAGTATCTATCAGAGTGATAGTTATAAAAATTTCTGGAATGCTGGTAATACTGGTGGTTTTGAAAAAGTATGCATAAGTTCTAATGACCTAAACGAGCTTTACCAAATATCATTGAAATGGCGGCTTTCAGGTACAAATCCATGGCCTGATCCAGATACGAAGAATTGTCACAGGCCAGTCTTCCTGATGGAGAGACAGGCTGTACTCACACAGTTTCCAGATGGAACACCGCAGGGCCCCTCCGTGTGTCTGTTCCTCAGTCTTATCCTGATGGAGCTACCAAAACCCCCTCTCTAAGGCTACAGATGCTTAACTTTTTAGGAGACCAGAGGACTTTCTGTTTCTGCAGAAGTCCTAGAAATTCCATGCCCTTTACAAATATTGTTTGAAATACTTTAGTCACTCTGAACCCATTGAGCTGGCTCCCCCACAGTCTGTTCAGAGTATCGGAACTAGTGTGGTGGAGAGCTGCTCATGCAGCACAAGAGAAGGATTCATGAGTCTGTGAGAGAACTTTTCCACCCCCGTGAACATATCACTGCAAAGGCGATTGCTCTTCGTAAAACCAGTCTATGCCCCAGTGAGACCCAGCTGTAATCTATACAGTCCCTTGGGACAAATGTTCCACATTTTTTTTTTTTTTATCCTCACCCGAGGACATTCATCGAGGACATTCATTTTTCCATTTTTTTGTTCAGACAGAGCGAGAGGGAGAGAGAGGGGGAGAGAGAGAGAGAGAGAGAGAGAGAGAGAAACATCGACGTGAAAGGGACACATCGAGTGGCTGCCACCCGCACGACCAACCAGGGCCGGGGACAAACTGCAACCGAGGTACATGCCCTTAGCGGGAACCGAACCCGGGTCTCTCCGGACTGCAGGCCGGCGCTCTAACCGCTGAGCCAAACCGTCCAGGGCCAAATGTTCCACATTTTTGATGACTAAAAACTTATAATGTATAACATAGCATAAATTTAGTTTGGTATTTATGCCAAAGCAACATAATTTAAACCTTTTTGTTTTAGCATGTAAAAGTTGGAAGAGAAAAAGAAAAGAATCAGTATAAATACTAATTCAAGCACTGGCTAAAGTTTGTATCAGCAGAGTAACCACGTTTTTATAGGTTTCATTGAAGGAAATCAACAAAGCTGGAAGATAGTCAGTGTGTTTACAATGACATTGTGCTGAAAAATTTTTCCTTCTTGTTTTCTGTCCCTAGGAATAATTAGCAGATCTTGGGACACTGGTCTTTTCTCTCTTTTTTTAAAAAAAATCCTCACCCAAGGATATTTTTCCATCTAACTCCTGATGAGGGGTGGGGAGAGAGAGAGAAGAAACAAAACATTAATGAGAGAGAGACACACCGATTGGTTGCCTCCTGCAGGACCCTGACTGGGACCAAACTGCAACCAAAGTACACGCCTTTGACCGGAATCGAACCCGAGACTCTGCGGTCCGATGGCAGACGCTCTAATAGCTGAGCCATATTGGCCAGGCTTGTCTTTTCTCTCTTAACTGGAAAGTGGACTGGTGGTGAGGAGCTGGGTGGGGGGGTTGACGAGTGCTTTTGTGACTGATGATGTAAGAAAAAGATGCCAGGATCATTTTTTGTAAGGTCTCCCTCCATCCTTTACTGAAGTGTGTGTCCTCCCTCTGAAGTAAAGACCATTGGCTAAATTGTGAATTGATACAAATTCTTGTAGAAAATTAACCATATAAAATTACATCTGGTGTTTCAGGGCCACATTGATAAAAGATTATTTAAAGTGAGCCAACATTCCTCATAAGAGATAGTAATTGTTGTTTTCATGGGTATAATAATTCTCCCCTATATTTTGTTGTATTTTGACCGCCGAGTGGGAGTGAGAGGTGGGGGGACAGTGAGAGTGAGCGATGGACGTGCTCAGAATGCATGTGCTGGGACAGGTACGCCGTTATGGACAAGGCACAGTTACTTCAGATTAGAAGCTATACTATTCCAGATGGTCTCACAAAAACTCCAGTGAAGTATGAAATGAAACCTAGTTCAAAAAAGAAATTAATTTTGGCCCTGGCCGGTTTGGCTCAGCGGTTGGAGCATCAGTCTGTGGACCAGAGAGTCCCGGGTTCGGTTTCTGCTAGGGGCACATACCAAAAAAAAAAAAAAGAAATTAATTTTGTTTTAATTATCTATCATCAAAGATACTTAGTTGACAGGAATCTGGTTCTTAATTCTAAGGTGCTGATTATAACAGTTATGCATGTGAATACAATATTTAATTCTATGTTGTAAAAATAACTTACTAAGTTTAAAAGAGCAATTATATTGGCTATATTCGCCAACCAGGCATTCCATGATAGCTTATGTTCTTAGAAATGGTCTAGCCATTATGGTGGTTTATTAGCCATGATACAGTGACAACACACTGTTACTAAGCAATGAATAAAGTTAAGGGTCTATAGTAGGACTCTAGAACTTAAGATTTATGAAGTAATCCTTATTAGGAAGTTTAATCTTTGTTTCCTTATAAGGTAGATTTGAAAATTGTCGAGAGGGTTTAGAGTAGAGTTGAGATGATCACATAGTAGGAAACTCAAGGATTGGGGTCATTTAGGGGTAGGAAGGACAATGCTGAGAGAAGACTCTTGGCAGGCAGTTAAGTTTCTTATAATTAAAATAGGCAAGACCTCCACTGAGTCCCACCTCTGTCACTTACTAGTTGTGAGACCTGAACAAGCCTTTAGCTCTGTAAGCTTCAGTTTCCTTTCTGCTAAATGGGGGCAACAAGAATATTTACTCTTTTTTTTATTATTAATTTTGTTTCAGATGTTTCTCCTTTTTTTCCCCATTGACACCCTCCTCCCCATGCCCCCTCCACCCCGTCCCCAGCTTTGTTGTTCATATTCATCAGTTACACTTAATTTTAACCATGGTATAAAGATGGAGTGGTTTAATGTGTAAAGATTTTATCACAGTGCGTGGCAAAAAGCAAGTGCTCAATAAATAATAGCCATTATTATGGCTTATGAGTATATGAAAGGTTATTTCCACTGAATTCATAAACATAAGAAGTGAGTTAAAATTTAACTTTGTGAATTACATTCAATATAACAAATTTTTCTGACAATGAATATTGTTAAATGCAAAAAGAATCCTGATGAGCCCAAAAAATTTCTCTGAAACTTTCTTAAAACTAGAATTAGTCTAAAATGTTATGAGTAAGTTCAATGCTCTGTCAAAGTCTGAGTCATGGTGCTTTGAAGGATAAAAAAAATAACTGGAAATGAGTCACTCCGTGAAGAAGGGTGACACTTACATCAAGGCATTTTGAATATGATAAGTTGCTTGAACATTATTGAATAATTAAAAATAATACTGTGGCAAAATGAAAATTCCTTTATTATCCCTCCTAAATTGTTTGACATCAGTTTATTCTTTGATTAGAATATTATCTGCTTGAATCACAGTGTTCAGGAATTAATCTGGTGTCTGACTCTCCACAAAGGGACATGGGCACATGAATACGTCCACTTTGCCAGTGGCGGATTTCAATAGTTCTGAAAATGCTCTGTGAATTAATATTTTTCTGTGCTGAACACTGGCACTTTAATAGCAAGTTTGTGTATATAATTGTATCTGTGGCAAAAAATAATTCCTAAATAAAGTAGAT